TCCTTCAGTTCCTATTAGACCTTCACCATTCTGGACTGAAGCCGTCTTCTATAAAAGTGTATACGGCAGCAATTTCCTATTACCGTGGCACAGTTCAAAGTTCACCCATTTTCTCTCAACTACTTATAAAGAGATTCCTTAAGGGACTTTATAACCTTAACCCAATGGTCAGACCAGTGATGCCTACGGGGAGTCTTTCCGTGGTCGTACAAGCGCTTACAAGGGCTCCTTTCGAACCCTTGGCGACTATCGATTTACGTCTTGTCTCTTGGAAAACGGCATTCTTCGTAGCAGTAACATAAACTCGAAGAGCTAGTGAGCTCTGTGCTCTGCAGGTAGATCCTCCATATTTAAATTTCCACAGGGAAATTTCCACATTGTCTTGCGCATAGATCCATCCTTTCTTCCCAAGGTGGTCACCTCTTTTCACATGGGACAAGACATTGTCTTACCTGCCTTCTTTCCATCTCCCATGAATCCGCTAGAGAGATCCTTACACACACTTGACGTACGGCGCTGCCTGGCCTTCTATAGATCAAGGACTGAGTCTATTCTGAGTGGGGATACGATGGAGGAGGAGATGTAAGCTGACTTGAGCTCTTTGTAGGAAAAAGGCAGGATATAAATCGAAAAATAAAATAAATAAATATTCGATGTTCCAACAGGCTCTTTCTCAAATACCTTGAGCAAAATCAGGGCCTTCCAGTTACCCCTCAAAGACTCTCCAAGTGGATAGTTCACACAATTACTCTCTCCTATCAGCTGGCTAGGATTGACCTGCCTACAATTCCAAGGGGTCATTCTACTAGAGCTGTCGCAACGTCTTCTGCCTTCGCATCGGGAGTTCCAATTGATGATGTATGTAGAGCTGCCACGTGGGCTACTCTGTGTACATTCGCTATGCATTATCGGCTGGATGTTCGTGCCAGACAAGACTGCTCCTTCAGCAGAGCCGTTCTCTCGTCTATTCTTCACTAAGGACACCTTTCCTCCTCCAATAAGGGTAAGCTTGCTAATCTACCCATATGTGTGATGCACAGAGGCCACGACGAAGAAAAGCAGGTTGCTTACCTGTAACTGATGTTCTTTGAGTGGCCATCTGTGCAGTTACACAACCCACCCGCCGGCCCCGCTTGGTGTTGGTGAGTGGAAATATTTTCATCGGTACCGTACTTTTTTTTTTTTTGGTACTGATATCATCTGTAGTACAGACTCCTTTTTTTCCACATGGGGGGCGAAACTTCAGTCTTCAAAGACTTAACAAAATGGCAGACGCTCCGCTCTATATAAGCTATAGGGGAGAGGGGGAGCGGAGCTTCCCGCCAAAACCGTTAGCTATCAATCTTCCGGCCAAAGGCACTGTGCAGGCACAGCACCCATATGTGTGACTGCACAGATGACCACTTGAAGAACATCACCTGCTTTTCCCGCTCTGAGTGGGTTGTGCTGGTGACCTTGCAAGAGCTTGCCCCAGCATGCCCCACAATGCTCCTGTTGACTTTGCAAATGTAATGAAATGTACATGGGGCTGTCCCTGGAGCATCCCCTTCCCTGTTTGCCTGCCCATTCCTTAAGATCTGGGTCGGAGGTCCTTCTTCGGGAGCCCTCTTTGAAAGAGATTAGGAGAGTGGCTACCCAGAAAAGGGCCTTCTCTGTGCTGGCACCCAGCTGTGGAACATGTTCCCCAGAGAGGTTTGTCTGGCACTGAAACTTTTTTTTGGCACCAGGCCAAATCCTTTTTATTTTCCCACTATTTTAAGACTTAATTATTATTTTAGTTGGGCTTTTATCAGATACTATGTTGTTCCTTGTTGGACCATCCTGGGACTTTTATGTATAGGATGGGGCACACAAGTTTTAAATAAAGAAAAATAAAAAATGGTCAGGAAAATTGAATTGACACAAAATAGAATGGCTAGGAGACTAGTAATACCAAACATATAACATCAGTCCTCTACAAATTATATTGGTTGCTCAGTGAAGTCTGGGCCTGCTTCAAGGTGCTTGTCTTAATGTATAATGCCCTAAATTGTTTAGGACCGGAATATATCAAAGAATGTCTCCCTCCCTATAAGCCTACCTAGACCCTAAAAACGTCATTAGAAGTCCTAATGGGAGTTGTTTTTAAAGGAAGCTAGGAAGATTACAACCTGAAGGGCCTTCTCAGTCATGGCTACCCGATTTATGGAACCAGTTTCTCTGCATCTTCCTTAAATACATTTCAGCGCCAGATTAAGACATTTTTATTTGTGGAACATTTTAATCATGGGTCCTCAAACTACGGCCTGCGGGCTGGATCTGGCCGGCCATGCCCATTTATCAGGCTCGCCATAGAGGTTTTGGACTCTCCGTGTGCACGCGTGTGGCGAGGCAGGGGCTTGCTCATGCAGAGATTGTTTTGGATTCACTTGGAGAAAAGGATCTTGCGAGCAAGCCTCCACTTTGCCCTGCACGCACCCAGCGGTGGCTTGCTCGCAAGGAGATTGTTTTGGACTTGCTTGGAGAAAAGGATCTCCTTGCGAGCAAGCCAGTGCCTCGCCACGTGCCCCCCCCCCCCCCTGCCCCCCCCCCCCCCCCCCGCACCACCTTGGCGGCCCGCACCCATTGCCAGCACCTTTCAACTGGCTCCCTATTAAAAAAGTTTCAGCACCCAATTTTAATTGTTGACTGTTCTAGGTTTCAATTTTTAAATTTGACTGGTATTTTAACTAGTAAATTTGGTATTTTATTTGTGATTTTTTAAGATTTAGCCAATCTGTTATGTTGATGTATGCTACTATCCGGTGCCCCTGCTGCAGTGGGGAGTTGTACTGTTTTATTGTTGATTGGCATTGAAGTTTTGTTTTATTTATATAGTTTGCATGCTTTGTTATGGCTTCATTATGTAAACCATGAGGGTATTGCAATGGTATACAAAAGTGCTAAACAAACATATTTCGAAGAGGTATCTTGACCCCTTCCTGAATGTGTAGGGAGTGGGGACCAGTGGCAGCTCCAGAGTGAACTTGTGTTGCCTGCATGACAGCCGCCGAAGAGGGCTATGCCACTGCTGCTTGTCCCTTCTGCGGCTCCTTCCAGTCAGAATTCTCACAAGGAATTCTCAGCGCTTCTCACTAAACTACAATTGCCAGGATTCTGTCTGTGACAACAGGGAAAAAACTGCTATTTTTTATTAAAACAGCAGGGTTTGAGTAGTTCTTGTGTCTAATGTTCCATTTCTTTGGGAAGGGCATCCCACAGTAGTGTACCAGGTGTCTGTGTGTTTTATCAGGCACATTTAAAAAATCACGCACTGATTAGTAAAAACACACTTCCATAAAATAATTATGCTTGCTTACTTAATATTTGTTAATATCTTGCCACTCTCAAACATCTGACATTTACCATATGTGGCTCTTCCATTGAGCAAGTCTGGCCACCCCTGCCTAGAGTTCTGTGTTTCTTTAGCCCATTGTTGTGTATTCATTCAATAAATGGATACCATAGTTTATAAAATATTTCAGTTTCTAATTGGCCTGGTTGTTACTGAGTTTCTCTTTTAATGCAAGGTCCATAACTTTCTGTTTCTATTTGTTAAGAGAAAGCTCATTTGTTGATTTCTATTTAGCATCTAACTAACTTGGTTATTGTCAGATAGCCTGAATTTCAACTCTTAATACTTTTGTACCTTTACTTTGTATTCAGCGTTGCTATTTGTCCTTTGTCTGTATAAAACTGATGTAAGAGTAAAGAGTATGGTTTTTTCCAAGGAGTTTGGTGACATCTAATAACAAACCTTAAAAAGGTGTTTCTTTTCTTCGTACACCACAAAGTGTATCCTAGACACTTCCATGCAAGAAAGCTGTCTTCTATTTTACACATCCCCATAATAATAAAACATAGAGCAAGTAACACTAGTGCTGGTTTATAGCCAGTGCATACCTTGCGAATTACACAATGTCAACCTGACTAGAAGGGGAAATTCTAATTCCAGAAGGTATGTATGGCTTCGTGGAGAAGGAACATGTCCAGGGGTCACTCTCCTGTCTATATCCTGCCTTTCTTTCTTTAGGGAACTCAGAGTGGCTTACTTGATCAAGATCAAGTGAGATTTTGTCCTCCTCCATGGGAGGTTTCTGTGCTCCCCAAGCTTGCCTTAGGATGCCTGTGTTACAATTTGACAGGTTTACTACCCCAGTCAAATTCCTTACCTGACACTGTGAAGCAACCTCGAAATGCACACTTTTCCTGCCAATTTTTATACCTTTTTATTGAAATTATTAGCACATGTGTTGGATCTTCCTCTTCTTCTCAATCTTACTCTCACAACAACCCTGTGAAATAGTTAGGCTGAACATCACTGACCAGCCCAAAGGTACCCAGTGAAGTTCATGGCTGAGTGGGGACCTGAACTCAGATCTTCCAGATCTCAGTCCAACAGTCTAACCACTACACACGTCCTCCATAATACAGATACCTTACGACTTCTGTATCCAACTTGATTTCAAGACTATCTGATTTGTGATCTGTTAAGTTCAGACTTAAATTTGGCTATTACTAGAAAGCATTTCCAGCAATTGCTTCAGTTTGGTTACTAAATTAAAGACACACAAATTTTGTGCCCTATTGCAGAGTTACCTTTTTCCTAACCATGTCTCTAAGCAAGCCTAGGCATATATAACTGAAATATTTACACCTCTTTTCCCTGTTTGTTGAATTGATAATGTAAACTCCTCAGGACAGAGACCTGCTCTGGCTGCCTCTGCAAAGCACATGTACACTGATGATGCTGTATAAATGAATAAAAATAATAAAGCATTATCCTAAATGTGTGATGCTCTGAATGAGGGAAGGACTTGGAAATGCAAGTATTTTCTATTAAGTAGAGTAGAAAATATTAATCAGAATTGTAATAGAATGAATTTGATAGATATATACACAATTATTTTGCATATTTTCACTTTTTCTCAAGTATTTATATATTATTTATAAATGAATGGGTAAAATGGAACATTCTTTACCTGTCCATCATGGACTTGCTCAGAAGTGTCTTTAAGGAAAAAAAAAAGATAGTTGAGTGAACTAAGGAAACATAATGCAAATAATATTTCAACTAACTGGCTTAGTAAGATGCTATTTATTGCACGTCTAAAAAATAAACACAGCCATTCCATACATAGTATTGGGGCAGTTCTGCAATGGGCTTAGTGCCCCCTCATTTATGGACAAATGCACTGCTTCTTCCTTTCATATCCTTATATTTACCTGTATCTCTGAATGTGCCTTAATATATCAAGACATCCTCATCTCTGCATGCATTGTGGAAAAGTAAACATGAGGTGGGGGTGGGAAACAGACAGTTTGAAATGAGGTGCTAACTAATAGCTTTGTTCCAAACATCAGCACAACCACGTGGTTTCTCCAGTTTTCTAAATTGTTACTTTTATGTTAGTGGAAAAAGCGACTGCCAAGCTAAAGAATGTCCTCTTCTTCCGCTAGACTGAACCAGAAATAAGCCTGCCCTGTATCAAACAGCTTATTTTACCTCTTTGTAATAACTGTAATCCTAAGCATATGAGGTGATGGTGTTAGGCTTGCATCCATGCAGTGCAATCCTATACAGGCCTATTCAAACGTGTAAACCATATGGGGTGAGTTCTCATGACACAGCAACCCAGTAAATAAGCTAGGCAGTGTAAGTTGTTTATGGCACAACCCATAATGCACCTGAGAGACAATCAGGCTCGCTCTGGGTGAATCCTCCCCGCCTCCTCCTCTGTATTTCTGGGAAGTATCTCAGTGGAGTTGGTGGCTTGAAGCTAGCTTGTTTCCTCTCCCTGCTTTTATGAAGAACCCTTTGGTACTCACTACAGCTCCTCTCACCAAATCCCCCCGTTTTTGTGGAGATGGCTTTTTGCAATTTCCAAATTTCTTATTTCCTTTTTTTTTTCAGAGGTCCTTCTTCATGATCTCTCTCAAGTGACTCCTACTGTGAGCCCCTTCAAAGTGCCCAGGGGCAGTCAGTATTTCGCTGTTCCTCCCCCTCTCCACACACAAATGAATGCATACAAATATACTTTGTGAAAAAATTCCACATTGATTTTTTTGACAAGGAAATAAAGAAGTCATGAATCCTTGTATATTACCCCAATGTGTAGGGGAAGCAGCACCAGTTAGAGTATTTTAAATGAAATGTCTTTCTTTCAGCAGCTGTCAAAAGAAGTGTTTACAAAAAGGTGGAGGCTAGGGTTGGGATGAACCCTTTCAGAATCCATTCCTTCAGAATCCGTGGACTTCCTCTCATGCTTGGCCAGGCTGAGAAAAGCAAGCTGAGCCAAGAGGAAATCTATGAACACTTGCAGACCTTTAGTTGCACAATGGGCAACCTTCACTAGCTGCAATTCCCAATGGCCACTGGCAGCGGTGTACACAGAAAAGGGGAACAGCAAGCAGGTGTGCCAGCTACCATTCCTGGCAGCCAAACTTTCCCCACACTTGCTGCTGCTAGATCGGTGCCTAGCAAGCACTCCACAAACCCTGAAACCTGGATTCTGGGCCACTGCAAAGTGAACTTGAGTCTGGGAAGCCAAAACAAAGGAATCTGGCAGATTTTCAGCACCAGACAGATTCCTTGCACATCCCTACAGGACATGATTTTCAATTTCTTTGGTACCTGGAGACTTGGGAAAGTAAGGAAGAGATAGTGACACTGGGAAATATGGGGGCAGGGAATTAAGAAACCTGAGGATCTCACTGTGATGCCACCCCCCCTTCCTGAACAAAGAACTTTCTTTGTTTGTTTTCCCTTGACAGCTGTCAAGTGAATGCAGAGTAACAAAATACCCTGTTGCAGGCTTTCTTGTTTAATGTCTGTGGTCGATGCCTGGAGCACTTTGACACCAGACACTTACTAGGACACTGCCCAGGCAAGCCTTCCCATTTTGACTACTTGGAGTTTTGCAACTCTTGAAAACAAAACAAATGTTGTTGTTAAAAATATATGATAATATTTGCATCCATTCAATTGTAGAAAAAGAAGGTGGCACACCTATGACAGCCCCTCCAGTGCTCCACTTTGAAAGCACTGTCAATAGTAGTCACTTCAGAGATCATGAAAAATGACATAGAAATCAAAGGGGAAAGGGTAGAAAAAAGCTGCAGGAAATACAAAAGGGCATTTGATTAGAACATCAGAGAGTGAGCCAGTGAAGGTCACTGCAAAGTGCTGCTTGGGCACTTTGGAGCAGTTGTCACTAGTGGTGGCTTCTGTAAGCTCAGCAAGTACAGCAGAGTTTTCCTTACTCTTACTGAGTGGCTCACTGCACACTTTTGTGGACCCATGATGGGATTGGTTGCCTGGATTCACATGACATGACAACCCACTGTAGATTCAAGAATCACTGGAACAAACAATGGTTAGAGAGGGTGTCTTGTTCTCATACAAGTCATTTTGTGGGAAGTGATGATACCACTCTAATGGCAGAAAGTGAAGAACTAAAGAGCCTCTTGATGCAGGTGAAAGAGGAGAGTGCAAAAGTTGGCTTGAAACTCAACCTTAAGAAAACTAAGATCATGGCATCTGGTCCTATCACTTCCTGGCAAACAGAAGGGGAAGAAATGGAGGTAGTGACACATTTTATTTTCCTAGGCTCCAAGATCACTGCAAATGGTGACTACATCCAAGAAATTAAAAGACGTTTACTCCTTGGGAGAAAAGCTATGGCAAATCTAGATAGCATACTAAAAGCCAGACATCACCCTGCTGACAAAAGTTCATATAGTCAAGACTATGGTTTTCCCAGTGGCAATGTATGGCTGTGAAAGCTAGACCATAAGGAAGCCTGAGCGCCAAAAGACTGAGGCCTTTGAATTGTGGTGCTGGAGGAGACTCCTGTGAGTCCCTTGGACTGCAAGGAGATCAAACCAGTCAGTCTTAGAGGAGATCAACCCTGACTGTTCTTTAGAAGGTCAGATACCGAACATGAAACTCAAATACTTTGGCCTCCTAATGAGAGGGAAGGACTCACTGGAGAAGAGCCTAATGCTGGGAACAATTGACAGCAAATGAAGAAGGGAACGGCAGAGGATGAGGTGGCTGGATAGAGTCACTGAAGCAGTGGGTGTGAGCTTACGTGGACTCCAGGGGATGGTGGAGGACAGGAGAGCCTGGAGGAATGTTGTCCATGGGATTGTGATAGGTTGGACACGACTTCACGACTAACATAACATAAAGCCCAAGTTCACACAATAGAATAATCCACCATGGCTAGTTATTCGTGATGGCTTGCCATGTTGTGTGAACCCAGTTACTGATTTCAATGGGGCTTGCTCGCAGGTGAGTGTTTTCTACTGGTAGATGTATGGTTACAATTCAAGGCCCTTGCTTTTGAGCTTCCTTCTTACTGCCCAAAACAAAAATGATAAAAACCAGTCAAAGCTTTGAAGTACAATACAAAAGTCACCCCTCCTTTATATTGCAATAATTTGCATCACTTTGCAGTCCAACTTCGCCATTTGCAGTTACTGTTCTTCATTAAAAGCATAATAAAGGCATGATTTGGCAGAGTACGTGGACTTCAATGGACTTATGGCAGCTCAAGATCTTACTTATATCCAGTAGAATCTTTAATTCATCACTCATCAATACTTTCATGAAAATTGGATAATGCCACAAAAATGTTCTTTTCCCCTCAAACCAGGGTTTCTTTCATTTTTCAGTTCGTCTTCTAATTAGTTTGTTAGGTGAGGCTATCTCATTGTTACAGATATGTACTCTGCAAGCGGATTATGAATCCCTACAAATAATTCATTTTTTCTGACCTCAGAACCCTTTCCAGGTGTTGTCAAGCACACCCATTCTTAAAATGTTCTTTGAAATACACATTTGAGCCTGTACTTACCTGCCTGAAACCAAGAGGGAGGTTTATCCATCTGTGCTGCAGTGTTAATCTCTGTTACAAACTGACATTCCCTTTTGTCCATGTCCCTAGAAACAAATTGATCTTAAGAAGTGGACAGAATATTATGCAAAGAATAGTCACAATCTACTTAAAAATACTCTTTAAGCAGGGATCCCCCATCTTCATGTGTCAGAGAGCACATTTTGAATGTTGAGAGAATGTTGTAGGCATCCTCACAAAATGGTTGCCATGGTTAGCCACAAAACAACTAGTTCATGTAAGGCAGACTGGCAAGGATAAAAAAAAGTTGCACAAGAATGTTAATATGAGGCAGAGGAGGTCTGAGCAACAAAACACAAAACCACTCTTTTGGATCCAGAGTTTTCTGCTCCAACATCCACTTCACTGGAGGTTCAAGGGGCAAATAACTGGGCCAAGGAACAGTACAAAGCAGAAGTCACATTTAAGCACCAAATGCTAAACACCGTATTGGCCCCTGCAAAGCACGCAACATTCCATACTGGTGATGTTTGCAGAAACATATACAGGAAAACTTCTACCCACATCAGGCACCCACAGAAACTGTCCCTTGAGACAAAACATACATGCCATCTAAGGAAAAGACCAAGTGAACAGCCCTGCAAAACCTGAGCCAGCACCCCAGACTTAAAGCAAACTAGCTAACTCTCTGAAAGGCAACACATACCACACAGGCAAAATACTCCCCCCACTAAACAGCACTAAGTCCTCAGAATACCCCCATTTCCCCCTAATTCTTGAGGATATCCCCCACCACATTCAGAACACCTATGCATTGTTTCTGGTTGGCTTCAAAATGAAATGCTGGACTACAGCCATCTGCCATTTTTATTTTTAAAGAATGCTTCAGGAGCACAGTGCGGCACAACAGGAATTTATGTAAAATTTTTGTATCCAGCCCTTTACCGTGTCTCAGGTATGCTTGGAAAGGAATCCTGCACCAGGTCTAATGTGTCACTTTAATGCATGCTGGACTCCCAAAGGTTTAAAGCAAGCCCCAAAACCCAGGAGATCCCACTAGCTTTGTGGGTACCAAGAGTGGTGTTTGTGGGCATGCTGAGGCCTTCAGCTTTACAGTTTTCACTTAAGACTCTGAAAATCCTAAACCTCAGAAATTCCCATTATAGCAGCAACATGTACTTAGAATGAAATCTCTATATATTTACTATTTATTCACTCAAAATATTTATATAAACATATTAATATAAATGGTAAAAACCCTCTCAAGGTGGCATTCAGTAATCAATAAAAACATCAGGGGCACAAAATTAAAAATGTGTAAGGAACTAACAGGTGCCTAGCTTGATTTGTTGTTGTTAGTCACGAAGTCATGTCCGACCCATCGCGACCCCTAGTTTGATACAGGTATCGAAATCCTGTAATACTTCTTCAGCAGCCCAATAAAAACACCTTACGAGAAAGCCACTATTAACAAATATGTCTTTTAAGGCTTCCCTAACAGCATGAACCAAGGGCCCTGGCACAACCTAACTGATGTGGGGCTACTCTTCTTGGTTGTCAGCAGATGACCTCAAGAGTGCGAACAGACCAACTTGGTTGCAAAACAGCAAGGATCTAAAGGTTAAAACCAGCACTTTAAATTGTTCTCAGGAATTGAGATACAGTGCCCTTGATGCAGTAAAGGTGTCACACAGTCTGACAGCCTTGCTCTTATATTCTGCACAGGCTGAAGTTTCCAAATTGTCTTTAAATGCATATAGACGGCACTTATGGATAGATAAATGGGGCAAGGTTTGTCCTCCCCAACTTAAGCTGTTAAGAAGAACTCACTAATTTCAATGTTTGTGAGGATTTTGAATGCAAACTTTCCCGAAAAATATAGTAATATATATAATCACATACTATCAATATGTACTAATTTTTGGTATTTTTATGTTAAGCAGTATATGTAGGTAACTCCCTTCTTACAAAAACAGAACCAGAAATTTATTTTGCACTTCAAAGGTTAAAATCCCCAGAATATGGCCGTCATTAAATTTGATTTGTCTGTCTTTTTCATGCATTTATGTAAGTTGTGCTGACCTCTGTTGAACAAAAAAATGAAACTGATGATAGTGATTAGAATAAGGAAAGCACTCCTACCAATCACCTTGTGTACCCCAGTTGCTTCATCTTACCCTGGCAGGTGGGAAACAGCTCCCATCTGTCTACAGACATGTGCCTCTGTGTATCATTTTCTAAGCCTGTAACGACCAAATGGCCACGAGACCGGTGCAATGCAGTCGTGAGTGTGCTGGACAGGGACTTGGGAGACCTGGTGCTGAGTTCCCGCTTGACCATGCTGCTTATGGGGTGGCTTTGGCCAGTCACGGACTCTTAGCTTAACCTACCCCACATGGCTGTGAGGAGCAGGAGGAGGACCACAAATGCCGCTTGGGTTTTTGCAAGAGGGGAAAAGGACGTACATACATTTTGCCGACAAAGACTTCTCTTCATGTGAAGCAAGTAAGTGGTAGCATGAATGCTCTAATGTAATTGCACACCAATCTACAAGCTGGAGCAACGTTCCACTGCATTTGTCCTTGAAAGTGCTAATGGTGAAGTCTAAATGTTGTCACCCCCTTTTCTTGCTGATAGTGTAATTTTTGGATAAGGGATTGGCTAAGTCTCAGCACCATGAAGTCTATTCTACTCCCTGATTGGTTTATTTTATTATTGGTTGTTCTTCTGTTTACTGTGTTTTTATGAAGGCAAAGTACACAGCTGTGAGTCTGTAGCAACCTTGCTCCTCTTCAGCTCTTTCTGAGCCATGCTAAAGCTACAATAATGCAAGCACCTCATCCCACTAAGCTTTATTGGCTCATGAAAGGAAACTAAGGAACTTCATTGGAGACCAGATTAGGTGAGTTTCAAAATGGAGAGATCCCTTTGCCCTTCAGCTCCATTATCTTTTCCATAGTCTCTTGATCAGCTTTCCTACACATAGCTGCGGATTCCATGGTGACCTGCAAATTGCTTTTTTGGCTGCCAAATTGCTGTAACCCTTCTATTTTTATGTTTTTAAGAGAGCTTAAAACTGTCCATCCTCTTTGGACATTTCTTTAAAATTGGCCAGAGCTTGGAAGGATTTCATATATATCCAAAGGGCTTAGAAGAAGATGTTGCCTCTAGTTTTTATTAAAGTCAACAAACATGAAAAACCCAGAAGGGGATAAAAGCAACTTAGCCACATTTATCTAATACATATAAATCTACCTAAGAGCTCTGTGCAGCAGAAGTACTCAGAGTACTACATTTATTTCTATCGAAGATGCAGAAATAGGCCAGGTGCATGTATGCTACATGCCCTCTCATACTATCAGGTTTAATATGAATAAAAAGATGGTGAGATGAGTAATAAGGTCAGTCTGGGCCAGGGCAGGCTGGATTAGTGTAAAAATAATTGTTAGGTTTTTCTGTCAGGCTGAATAGTAAAGCACTCAGACTAGTACACTACAAAATGTTTCAATAGAGCATTTGCCAGAGGTTTTGTTTAACCTTCTTAAAAAATAAATTTAAAAAACTTGCTGAAAGTTTCACACTGTAGCAGCAGAAAAGGGTGTGGTAAAGACCACTTGTTCAATAGGGAAAATATAAACAAGTTTGTTTTAATATATATATGTTGATGCAACAATTATGCTATGTAATACACTAAAGGTATAAAACTCCAGTAATGTATAAAACTCACTAAATTGTATGGACATCATATGTCAAAAAAGTGTATAAGCATAACAGCAGGAGCCCACATGGATCCCACTGGTATTCAAGGTGCAGATCACATAACTAACCCCTTCCCACTGCCTCATTTCCCCTCTTTCTAGACAGTTACAGCAACTTGCAATGATGTTGCAAGACAGGTATGTAAGATAGTTGTTATAGGGTCCTAGGATGACAGAACTTGCATTCTTAATTTTGTAGCCTTACAATGCATTCCTGTTCTAAGTCTTCAGAAGGAGCTGCCATCTTTTGTTCAATTTATTTCCAAAAGGGAGATCACTGAAGATATTATACTGCGTTTATATCCTGCCTGCCTGCCTTTGATTTCTATACTGCCTGTTGCCTGAGATGGTTCTCTGGGTGGTTTTAATTCCTCTTGCAAGGAATCCAAGATGGCTTACAAGGTTCTGCGCTACTCCATTTTATTGTCACAACAACGATCTTGTGAGGAAGGTCAAGCTGAGAGGCAGTGACTGGCCAAGAGTCACCTGGCATTGTTAATCACACCACTTAATATAGATAAAAAAGAAAAAAAGATGCACTCTAACATCATCAGCAACTTAAACGTGCACAAATGCTATCCAGGTAAACTAGTTTGTAAAACCTTCTGTGAAGCAAAAGGCAAGGCTGATTAGAATGGTCTGACATGCATTACTTTTGTAGTCCATGCTTTCTGACCCAACTTTTTAAACTGCTTCCAGGCTGGTATTGCTTCTGGGTTAAACAGGTTTAAAGCTGTGCCCCCCCCCCCGCCCAAAGTTAGCACTTTAAAAAGTAACAGGAAAAATGTATTGTTCATTCTTTAACTCCCACTGTTGTTACTTTATCAATAAAATGCAGATTGCAATGATAAAATACAGCTACAGACACTACAGATAGTGAGCCTTGCTCTTACAAGTAGCACACATCCATATGAATAAAACTAATGAAGTAATTATATTTAAACCTTACAATGTATCATCCAAAATGGCTGAAGAAAAGTGTTTGGTAAACTGTGCGTGCATATCGTGTGTGTGTGTGCGTGTGTGCGCATAAAGATGAAAGATTGATTGAAGTCAAATCCTTAAATGGAGGCTGTTCAAATTTGGCTATGGAGGAGCAAGACTTCTTAGTTAGTTGGTAATATGGCCAGATAACACTGCATATATCTGTAAAATGCATAGCAGAAAGAATTTTGGTATTATAATTACTAAGAAGGCAGAAACAAAATAAAACTGCCAAAGACTGCAAGTTCCCAATAAAGGCAGCTAAGCTCTTTCCTTGAAGAAAGGATACTTTAGACAATATCCTACATTAAAAGAATTCTCTTACCAAATGTTTTTATGCTTCTAGTAAAACATGTATTTATCCTGACTTACAGATACAGAAATGTAGAGAAGGTAAAGACTTACATAAGGAGATTCAGTATCTTGGGATTCACAGGGATTACTAGTGGTTTACAAAATACTTATATTTTGTAAAGTATTTTACAAGTTTTAAAGTTCTACATATATTGAAGAACAGTCACTGCTAGGGTTTGTAAGTACATAAATTCATCTTGAGAGTATTACTAAAAAGTTGGTTCTCCTTACTACATTTGTATGTTACCTTTTCAGAAAGCTTGGTGGGACAAGAAAGGAAGATACTAAGACATATACATACAAAGGCTCATAAGCATTAGCACATTATGTCCATTTGCAGTGTTCTACAACAGGGAACATGCAGGTTCTGAGCTGCATGATGTCTAGCAGGAATCAGTTATTCTCTGTGCCAATCTGAAATTGTCACAGGGCGTTCCGTTTAAACTTGCATTAGGTTCAGTGTGGTTCACGCAAGTCCAGCAGTTCCGAAAAATTACTGCTATTACGGGTTGAAAACTTTCTTTTTAGTATTAGTAGCTAGAGAGGAGGTGAAGGCAGGGATAGTGGATCTGCCTCACTTTAGGTTTAGCAGCATTCATTTGGATTTGAGTGGTATGAGGGAGGGCTGGACTCTCTTTATGTTCTCCAGCTCAGCGAGAGGTAATCTCAGCCCTCGAGAGGAAAGCAGTTTATATGGCTTCAGTGATTGCAAAGAGTTCGGTTAGGAGGATTAACAATTTGCAGTGACCCACCTTTGCTGATCTGTTGCAGCAGTCAAGACAGTGAGGCAGTAAGTAAAACTGAAGTTGAAGACCACTGTGACTGCAGAGAACTGGAAAGCTAACAATTAACTGTGAGGAAGAAAGTGCTTTACTAAAGAAGAACTGCAAATGAAATGTTCTAAAATATGTCTATTGGGGCTTGGATTATTGTGTAAAGCAGTTGCACAGATTATTGTTCAAGTCTTTGTGTCAAGGCTCAGGGGAGCTAGTACCTAAGTCATTGAAATTAGTTCCCCCTGCACTCAAGGGATATGTGCATGTTTACATCATAGCCTTAACTTGATGCTCAAACCTTTTGTCTGAAAAAACTGGGCAACAGTTTCAAACTGAAATATACTTCCATTGTTTTATCTGGAAATATATTTCAATGAAGCTGACAAGGCTTGATGCCAAACAAAATGTGCTGAAAATAGGAATGCCATGCTCAGGCTGTTTAGATCAGATGTAACAATCAGGACTCAATAAACTATGCTAATTAGCTTGAGTTCAGGCCATGTGCTTTGATCCTCTGAACTCCTAGTAAAATTCAGTGATTAAAGCAAGGTGATTATAAAATTAAAGCCTCACTGGAAGCACCCAGAGTGTTAATTATGCCAGAAGTTAGTAACAATTAACATATCTCATTCTTCTTGGGAAACTTTTGCACCTTACCTGGGAGAGTTCTTGCATGTCTTGTGTGTGAAACATGGAACATTTTTGTTGGAAGACGGGAAACTGCCTTGACCTTCCTGTTCTTGTGGCAACATGGTCAGGTCCACAAAAATTTCACTTAAACCATCTTCTTTGTCTAATTGTCCAAGAATCCCTAGGGGTTAAAAAACAAACCAGAAATCATTTATGATGCTCACTATTGTCAAAAGAGGGATGCGGTGGTGCAGTGGTTTAAACCACTGAGCTGTTTGATCGGAAAGGTAGACAGTTCGAATCCACAGATGGGGTGAACTCCCATTCTCTGTCCCAGCTCCTGCCAACCTTGCAGTTCGAAAGCATGCAAATACAAGTAGATGAAAAGCTACCACTTCAATGGGAAGGTGACAGCGTTCCGTGCACCTCGGTGTTTAGTCATGCCAGCCACATGACCACGGAGACTGTCTATGGACAAACGCTGGCTCCCTCAGCTAGGAAATGGAGATGAGCACCGCCCCCAAGAGTCAGACAGGTCTGGGCTTTAATGTCATGGGGAAACCTTTACCTTTTATTGTAAAAAAGAACAAGACTTAACAGCAGTAATAACTGTCTTTTGTAGTAGTTGGACTAGTGCCTGTTAAAGTAACTACTTTCCCATTCATTTGCTGATAACATCAGCAGTCTGTTTAACCATGTTGATCAGAATGGCAGTGTGTAATTTGGAGTCATTTATGAGCAAAACTTTCTACATTAAAAATATCTATGGACAAATTGCCAGACCAGTAGCTAGTAACGGTCTGTAATGCATTGGCAGAGGTGTCCAGTGAACGGTTTGGTCACATTTTACAGGATGAGTTGCAGCCAGAGGATGTGAACAAATTGCTTGGTCATGTCCATGCCACAACTTGTTCACTTGACCCTTGCCCTTCTTGGCTAACTGAGATATCAAAGGAAGGGATTTGTCTCTGGATCCAGGAGGTTGTGACTGTCTCCTTGAAAGACTGAGTAGTGCCTGCCCCTCTAAAGATGTTGGCGGTTACACCACTCCTTAAAAAGCCACATATGGAGAACATAAATAATTATTCAACTATAGCCAATATTCCCTTCCTGAACAAGATGCTCGAGCAAGATGTGGCTGGGCAGCTCCAAGCACTCTTGGAGGAAATGGATTATGTAGATCCATTTCAATTGGACTTTAGGCCCATGTTTGAAATGGAAACTGCCTTGGTTGCCCTGTGGGATGACCTTTGTTGGGAGAGAGATGGGGAGTGTGACCTTGTTGATTCTCCTGGACCTCTCAGTGGCTTTCAACACCGTTAACCATGGTATACTTATAGAGAGGTTGGCTGGGTTGGGAGTGCTTTGTGGTGGCTCCACTCCTACCTGACTCACCTGTGGAGCTGGGGAACTGTCTTTTTGCATCATGGCACTTGTGTCATGGAGACCCGCAGGGCTCTATTCTGTCCTCAATGCTGTTTAACATCTACATAAAACTGCTGAGAGAGGTAATCCAGAGGTTTGGGCTGAAGTGTCACCAGTATGCTGACAACTAGCTATCATTTTCATCTCATCTAGGTTTGGCAGTGCCTGTGCCTTGGCTTGCTAATAGACTGGATGAGGGCCAATAAGCTGAAATTCAATCCAGGCAAGCCTGTCTGCCCAGCTGGGAAATTTTCAACCTATCCTGGATGAGGTTGCACTCCCCCTAAATGATAAGGTTTGTAGCTTGGGGTTACTCCTGGACCCTGAGCTGTTGGTTGTTTTGCAGGTGGCCTCAGTGGCCAGGAGCACCTTCTATCAGTTTAGGCTGACTTTCCAGCTATGCTCCTACTTGGACGAGTGTAGCCTTGCCACAATACTTATCAATACACTTTATGTGTGGCTGCCTTTGAAGATGGTCCAGGCACTTCAGTTAATCCAAAACAGAGCAGTGCAGTTATTAAAAAGGACTGGTCCTAGAGAGCATATCACAGTGGTCCTCCACCAACTGCACTGGCTGCCTGTTACTGCTTGGGCCCAATTCAAAGTGCTTACATTTATAAGTGGAGCCGAGAAATACAAAGGAACACTTGTCTTCATATATCCCTACCAGACCACTTAGATTTTCAATGAAGGCCCTCCTTCATGAACTCTTCACAAATGATGTGAGGGGGAATTGGCAAGAAAAAGGACCTCCTCTATTATCCCACCTCATCTTTAGAAGAGTCTTTCCTCATTATTCTGTTTTCACCATCAAGCAAACACTTCTTTATTTAGTACCTGCTTTTAGAACTATGCTTTTTGCTGTCGGTTTTATTCTTGTTATTGCTGTTTTTATCATCCTCCTGTTTCACACCTTATATTAGTTGATTTTATGTGGTTTTAGATGTTATTGTTTTATTTTACTATAGTTATGCAATGTTGTCATTTCTGTTTTTTGTGAACTGCCCAGAGAGGTTCCAGGCTACAGGGCAGTATACAAATAATTAATAAATAAATGAAGCATGTAATAAGTTGAGATTGCCCATAAAATAAAGAAATTATTAATTATTATGGCTGCAATTTTAAACTAACATGCTAAGGAATAAATCCTATTGATCATAATGGGACTTGCTTTGAGTAGCATGCATAGGATAGGATTGAGGTTACTTCCTAATGTTTGCAAGGAATCATGTTACTTACTCCCAAGCAAGGTTGCCAGGTGGGCTTGGCCTGCCTACCTCTTTTTATAACAAAATTATTTATCAGATTGGATTTGTATCCCACTCTTCCACCAAGAAAATGGTGCTTACGGCAGCTAATCACATAGGAACCAAAAAAAAAAAAATTAAATCAAATCAAATCTAGTTAAAATGATAAACCCTATAAAAATGCAGCTGAAAAGCACTCCATCACCAGAATAAAAACAGCAGCAAACCCAAGAGCTTAAATAAAACTGTATTTGTCTACTAGCAGGATAGCAGAGAGGAAGCCAGATGAACCTCTCAGCCACTGAGCAGCCACTGAGTTGTGCCAAGAAAGACCCTGGCTGGTAGCCAGTCAAGCATTCTGGACCACTTGGAAGTTCTGAACAAGTTTCAGAGGCAGCCCTACACAGAATTCATTACAGTCCAAGACACTAAGTCATGGCCACTAAGGCTACTAAGGCAAGTCATTAAGGCATGGCCAGATCAAATGGGAATGCGCTAGCACCAGCTTCTGGAATCTCCCCTGCTGAAGGATGAGAGCCACCATGCAACAGTGCCTGCCGGCTCCATCCACCATAGTCAGTGGTATCAGAAGCCACCTTATCTACCTTATCCAGAAATCCCTCGAGCTGAGAAGTCCAGCAACTAATCCAAGAATATAGAATATTGGAGACTGGCTGGAAATTATCTAATCTAGTCCTGGAAGGTTTTTTGCTTTTAAACAGCGCTGATACTAGTACTACTTCTAGGTAAGATGGAATGACACCTTGTTGAAAAGAGGTATTCAGCTCTCTCATCATCTTTTGGACAGACTCCACCTCTGGCCACCTTTATTCAGGGAATGCATATAAATATACTAGATCTCTCTCTCTCTCTCACATGCACGCACACACACATGAGAGAGCGAGCGAGAGCATGAGAGAACAAGCAGATTTATTTATTTCCTCCTGCTGCTGTTTTTTATTTCTACTTGTGCTCGTCTTTCCTCCTGTTGCAGGCAGCTTCAACTCTTACCCTGCAGCTTTCAGTCTTTTCCCACAGCCACTCCACTCCTTCACTAATGAAACTTGTTTCTAGCCCTGGGCTGTTTGAAAACAGTCTTTTGGCAAAGCGATTGAGTTGCAAAACTGTATGATGGCAAAACAAGGAAAGACCAAAGCCAGAAATCACCTAGTAGTGGAAATAGCTCACTGGATTTTGACACACACTTCTTTGTACTTAAATGCAACTCCTCCATCAACTCCAGCATGCCTAGACTGATCAAACCAGGGCTGCTGGTCCCAAGTCTGATTTGGTTTGGCTGTAGTTCACAAACCCCCAGATTTAGGTCCTGATGTTGATCCTAATGGAGTCTTTGAAGGCCCAGCACAAATTGCAAGAGAAAGAAAGCATTTTGTAGTTGCTTAGCATTGTGTATTGCACATTTGTTATTGCATAAGATACGGAGTACATGGCCTATATGGATAATAGGATCACGGTAGCTCATTAACCAATTCATGTCAGTACATTTTACAGAACTCTGCACCCAGGTAAGTGAGTTCAGGATTGCAGCTTAGGTTTTGTATCATCTTGTATTTGTAGTTTGTAATGTTTGTGATCAGCCCAGAAAGCTTCAGCTTTTGGGTAGTATGGAAATGAAATATAACAATAACAGTAACAGTAACCATAAAATCAACAATTCTATTGATTTTAGAGATCTGCATATTTGGAACAACAGAGATGTGGAACATCTCAAGAACATCCATGTTCATGTGACCTGGATCCCAGATAAAATTCCATCTGTCCTTAGAACTGGTTATCCGTTCCATTAGTAATAGGGTTTTTTTTTTAAGTATTTTAATTTGTTTAATTTTGATCTATATAGTCTCATGCTTTGGCATGATAAAGGAATAAAGGAAAGAAAAGGATAAAGGAAAAGCCACCAGCTATCTGTATGAAAATCGAATAAATTATCTTCACACCTTCATTTGTTCTTTACAAGATGCTGACTTTTACCTGGACTTCCTGTTTGTTTAAACAATGTTAGAATTTTCAAAGGAAATGCCATCCAGGAACTAAAGAAGAAACACAGGCCTGTAGGACAGAGCTACATGCAAAGTTATAACTTTATGTTTTCACTGCATGTGTTCTCCTGGTCAAACAAATGAGCTTTTTGAAAGCATGCAGTAGCTCATCATGTTAGCTGTGGGAACAGCTAAACCAAAATCAGGAGGCAAAGATCTGGCTGTAGGCCCAGCTTGGTCTTATGTGCGTATTCCTTCCTTCAACCCTTAGCAGTTATACTGTTCCAACTCTAAACTCTATGTGACATGTATCATAACAAGTGAATTCATCATATTCCCATGTAAAACTATTGCTTCTAACACCAGTGATCCTGATGAGACCACAGGATATGTTAAAGAGGAACCTAAGCTGCAGCTGATGTGGTACTGCAATACTAAGCAGTGACAGGATGGGTCATAGGGAACTTCCAAGGCTGGCTGGGCATTGTGGGCTGTGATGGCAGCTTCTA